AACGTGATTGCATGCATATTATTCTGGAAAGTTAAGAAAATTCGAACAAAAAATAACTCTAAACAATTTTTAAGATTCACGCTTAGTCCTCTACTATTTACTAAAAACCTACTAATGCCGGTTTTAAGTTTTAAAATCTGATAAACTATAATAGGAAACTGGTAGCGAGGATATAGCTGAAAATATAAAAACGAATCATGGCCCACTATTGACATCATTCCGGACTATGTTCCATACATAACTTATTGAAAATGTTGAACAATATTTAAGAAGCTAGATTTTGTAAGCATATTTACATAAACATTTTCTGAATGTTACAGTGGACAATTAGAAACCCTGAATAGAACAATAAATACCACAAATAAATTTAAGTTTTTCGCTATCTGCACCAGGATATAACTTTTATTGTTGGCAATTCGGTTTATTTTAAAATAATTTGAAACACATTTTACAATTGGTGTCAGTGACAATACACTTAATAAGCAGGCATTTATAACAGAAACTTCTGACTTCATACAAATCTAAATTTTATATATAAAAATATCGCAACCGATGAGCTTTAAAATCCTCTTTACCAGGAATAAAAGTATACATGTTACGCTTCCATTACAAATCCAGAAGCGCTCTTTTGTATGATTTTGAACATGTGGCGTTTCATTATTTATAGCCAAAGCCCTTCAGTTGCTAAAAAAAATGGAGGATTTCGTTTGAACGTTTTTAATAAATAACTTTTAAGAAAACTGTAAAAAATATTATATAAAAAACCTAAACACTGGGAAAATTAAAACAAAAAATTAAATATAACTAAGTGAAATATTACTAAGTGATGCTTAAGAAATTTCAACAAAAATTCCTAGTTTATGTAGTTATTTCTTCAGCATAAACAAAAGCATAACCGTGTAGTTATGCATAAAAGCATGTAGTTAAGCATAAACAAAAAGGGTAAATGGATGTGATTTCACTCCTCTCATGTTGAGTTCTAAATCATGAAACAGTATTAAATAATTCTTAGCAAGTGCCTAGTTTCCTAGAAGTTTATATATTTTAAGTATGGATGTTATATATAACGGTGCAATTATGCTATCTGGCATTTTTTGAGAAAAAATGCAGTCAAAACTTCCAGAATATGGTAAAATTTACCATATTTCTGGTCGTAGAGGAACACGAAAAACTCGATAATTTTCATCAAAGTGCTTTGGTAATGATTTCGGAAAAATTAACTATAAAACATGGTTTAATAGAATGCGATGAAATTTGTTAAATTTATCATACACCTTAGAGTATGAAATAAAAATTATTTATTCGTCAAAATATGCTTTTCTGGTTGATATGCTGTACTAAATATACTGTAATAAAAACTATAATTTATAAAACTAGAATTAGCAGAAAAGCGTTACCATATTAAAAAAAATACCATATATCTTAATTTTATTAACAAAAATTATGTTTTTTTTTTCTTTAACCAGATTATTATAATCACACAGTACGTTAATTTTAACACAATTTTTTTTCCGTATATTTTAAGTGAGAAAAAAATCAACAACAATAAAATTCTTCTATGAGCGTTTGCGACATAAAAAATACATCAAATTTATTGGTGATCAGCTTTATTATTCAAATAATATTCTCATATTATTTGATAGATCAGGACACATTTTGTATTGATTTTGCTTACTGCTACAAGTGCGTTACCCTCTATATATCTACTGTTTCTTTCTCTTTTTTTTGTATAAGCTTAAGTTTTTAAGCTATAAACCAAAAAAACTGTAATTAAATTTTTTTTGAAATAGTCATTACCTAAGGATAAGAAACATAAAAGTCGGTTTCCATGGCTAACAACAAAGGTAATAAAGTTCAGCCAATTAAAAAAAATTGCCCGGGTGAACCATGGATTAAATAAAGAATTCACTATGAAAAAAAAGGGAAACTAAAATTTGACAGCTGAATATATATGCATAAGTATTGTTAATTTGAGAATGAATATTTACTTGCAATATACTAGATTGCTTCTATCCTATTTTTAATTTGCTTGCAGGATGCTTAGAAATTGTCCATATTTGCAAACTTTCTTCAATAAAAAAACTTAAATAAATTCTAATATTTATATCACACTCATAAACACCATTTTAATATTTTTGGCACAAATTTAAATTAGATGTGCATTATACAAACTAAAAACCAAATTTTTCGTTGTCCCACTCAGAACTCAAGCATGTAGAAAATAATTGTATTGGTTGAATTTGTATGGACTTACTTCCAGATAAAAAAAAATATGTTTATGTAAATTAACTATTTGCGTGAGATTTCTCATTATTGGAATCCGTATAATCAACATACTACTTTTCATCATTAAGGTTAAATATGTATCGCTCAAAGTGAGTATAAACTATGCTTTTAAAGGAGCGTGGTGTCTTTGGTTTATTATGTTTTATTCATATCGATGTGTAATTATAATGTTTTCAAATTATTGTGAAAGAAATGGCATGTTTAAAAATAGCACTTTGCTAAATCACTGGTTTTCACTCTTTAATTTACACTAGAAATAAAAAACAGCACAGAGAGGAAAAAATATCTGGTAAAATTACCGTATTGTAGGGTAATCACATTTTTGCTAAAAGAAATCAATAACTCTGGTTAGTAAAATCAAAATGCTATTTAAACCATTATTTGGTGAAAAATTATTTAAACCGTTTATTTGATGAGTTTCAGTTCATATTCTGGTTTTCAAAAATATTAGTTCATATTACCCCACATTTAGTAAAAAATATCTAACTAAAAACTAAATTTTTCAGAATGAATGATTATTTTTTGTCTTTTCTAAGTTATCGTGCCATTATGCCATTTTCTAAGTTATTGTGATAAATTATAAATTTTTATTTTGCTGAAAGAAATTGCACTTTATTGTACGTTTTATCAAAATTATAACAAATGCTTCGGTAAAAATTACCAAGTTTCAAAACATAAAAAAAGCTAAATGCTACAAAAATTTTATTTCGGTGCTTTAAAAAGAGCATTATAACGGCATATCTCGTTTGAAGCAAAATGCCTATAGACTCTTAAATAATAATATGCTTGTATCTAATCTAAATAATATTATTTTGAATCATGGAATATGGTATTTTATTTTTTCTTATATGCTGCAATATAATAAAACTCATAAAACATAAATACATGTTTGTTTTTTCAAATAATACAAAATAGTGTTATTAATTTTTCATTTTAGTGATTACATTTTTGTTATATATATGCTTCTTTTGTTTAGATCATATTTTTAAAAAAATCTGAAACACTTTAAAGATTACAACGAAATATGCAGAACGAAGATTTTGTTTGAAAATAATAGTAACAAACGCAATGTTATACCCGGTTCTGATTAAAAAACCCATTGCTCGTACATTGAAATTGCTTTGCAAAGCATTCGAATGCATGCTTTGAGTTTCGTGGATTCAAAACTTACGCTTAAAATGAAATTGGATCAGTCTGTTTATTCTTGTACAAAAATGAAAATTAAAATTACGGAAAAAATAGTTACTTAAAATACAAATTTTCAATTTAGTATTATTTTTTTAAAAAATTACGTGTAGTTTACTAAAGTTTAAGAATGTGGTATTGCTAAAAACAAACTGGAAGTCAAAGAAACATAAATCACTTATACAATGTATAACATAAGAATAAATAAAACTCATTTAAACTATCTTTAGACGGCAGTTATATGCATTTGTTATTTCAACTAATGAAAAAATAATTTTTTTCTTCTAAAATTAGATGCTTTAAAAGTTTAAACAACTAATGTAATTAAAATTTCGTAACATGATTTAAGACTTACATTATGAATGAAATAGCAAAAGTTATTTTGTTCTTCTGCAAAAATGAAACAAGTAAAAATAATGAAAAATTATAAAAGGAATTTTTTAAATTTCGTAGAATTTCTTCGATATATTTAGATAATTATAGCTGGGAAAAGTTTTGTTGCTTAAAAGAAATTAATAGTCAAGCAAAAAAATAGTTTCAGAGATTGTTTTAAAAAGAAAATGCATATCTATAAAAATATTCGCTGTTTCGGATTTGATGAATGCATAAGGGAGTTTAGTTACAAAGGACGATATTTTAAACTAATTCACGAAAAAAAACATCGTAGCCATATTCCATTATTATTCCAGATTATCATTGAAAAAAAAAATTCCCAGTCTGCTCATTGGAACAAATATCCATTCATTATTTTTTTTAAGGAAAATAGATTTCAAAGATTTATTATTCCAAGAAAAGATAAATTTTGAAAACAAAATAATAAATAGAAAACCTAATTAAAATTAGAAATTAAAGCAAGCATAAAGTTTAAATCGAAGAGATGTAAAGACTTCAGACAACAAAAAGAAAATTAAAAATCTGTCGACACCTTTATTTTCTATGGATACTTTGAGAAAATATGCTGAAAATCCATTTAAAAACTGTCATTGTTAAAATATCAAACTTTTCTCAACTCCAAACTGAAATGAAATATTTTTCGAAAAATCTTTTTTCGTGGATTGTGTTGGTTTTGAGCAAATATAGATTAAATTTTCCAAAGACACTTTCATTTTAGTTTGCTACATTGAAAATGTTTTATCAAGTTTTTACACTAAAGATGTTTTTATAAGTTTTTTTACATTAAAAATGTTTTATCAAGTTTGTCTCATTAGAAATATTTTATTAAGTTTGTAACATTGAAAATGTTATAATGTTACATTCGAAATGTTTCATTAAGTTTATTACAATGAAATCATTTTATTAAAATTGCAACCATATAAATGCATAATTAATCTCAATAAGGTGTTTATTAACGTAAAATTTATATAAATTACAGAAGCTTTTTTTTCTAAATTTTTGCATTAAGCAATTTTTACGCAACCGTTTTAATGAACCTGATTCCAGACGCATTCATATTTATTTATATATATCGAAATGAATAAAAAATATCCCGAAATATAATTTTATAGAAATGTAAAATAGGGAGGACTTACCTTTATAAGATGAAACTAAAATAACAGTAAACAGCAATAACAAATTCTCTATATTTAAGCGTATTTTCTCCATTTTGCTGTAATTTATAATTCAACAGAATTTGGACAAAGAATTTGAGCTTAATTTTCAAAATTCTTGTATCTGTAAGCCATATTGCATTGAAAACATTCTTCTAAAAATCTTGCTGTATCCATAATAGATGTTTTTTAATGTATAAAAACTAAACCGATTTTCGCATGTGCAAATTTATGAAAACATTTGAACATTAAAATTATATATTCTGTCACATATGAGCTGGCTATATGATAATTTTCCAGAGTAGTTTCTATAAAATCATTTTATGCTTATTTATATATAGAAACTTCGCAATTAGCAACATGTGCATATTTGCATTTGATAATATGTAAATAATCAAACATTCAAAATTATTGTGAAAAATATATTTCACAACATTGCTGTTTAATCCATATATATATTAATAATGTGTGCAAATTTTTATCACAATGAAGTATTTTTATAAAATTAAAATTTATTCACAGCACTAATTTTATATTTCTTAAATTCCTTGAGAAGAAAGTCCCATGTTCATTTTTATTTTTTTATATATATATTTGAAATAAAATAAAAAATTCGCAATATTTCTTTTCACTTTCCTCTTTTAATTGCATAGAAATAAACCATAAATTATTATTGCCAAAGCACACCAAAAGAGTGTTTTGTTTATGAAAGATTATTCAATAGGCAATAAAACTTTTTACTCCGTAGAAAGTTCGGATCATGTGGAGAAGAGAACAGGAGAACTGTTACTGATCCTTTTTCGGTCCACTCTCCTGTGTATAGGACTTCGTGGATTTTCGATGCGCGAAAGCTTTAGCACGCATGGCAGTAGTAGTAGACGGTAGTTTTGATTTTATAACGCCAAAAGATCGACAGCGCCATCTATAGGATAAAAGAGATAAAGGTAGGGAAGTTTCTTGTAAAGGAGGTGAAATCAAATTCCAAACGTAGTAACTTTAGAACAAAGCGAATATTTCATCAGGGCGATGCGTTAATTCATTTCATCTTTGTTTCGTTGTTGTTCACATCACCGTGCATTTTTGAATTTTTTAAGATTAATATAAAAGTTTTCGGCATAATATTTGAAAGAAAATCATGCCAAGAATATAATATTAAGTTAAATGTTTAGTAGTTATTTTAAAATTTTTGGAATACCACAATTTTTTTTAATTAGTTTACTATTTTATAAAAAGAAAAAACACAATGCTAAGTAAAACTGTCTTAACCTATTACATCGTATTTTCCAGAAAAAAATTTAAATCTCATTATATTGTTTAAATAGCAATGCTTTTAATTTACTTAAATTAAAAACAGTAGCTTAATTTTATCGTTTAGTTACTCATTTCAATCGGTTAGATCATTTAATTTAAAGTGTAAATATATCATAGTGTTTTCTCGAAAATAACTGAGAATAAAAATTTAGTTAGTTAATATTGAAAATTTAAAATTCAAACCAGTTTCAGAACCTTCACTGTAATGAAGGGTTTCTCAAAATTGAGCAAAAATATATAAATATTGCTTCGAAATACAATCGCATTTGAAAACCTCACATATTTATTATTAAGTGCAGTGGCATACTCAAAATTGAAGGAACATATACTCATTTCTGAGCAAAATGAGTGATCCAGAAAATAACACATGATAAAATGAAGCAGCATCATCAAATGTGACAAAGTTCAAACTTTATTAGTTTGTAACGATCGAATGTTCGAAAAGAAAATCCAATTAGATAATACTTTATTGTACATGCGTTCATTCCAAATATGTTTCGCGAATAACAAACGTCTTCAGATCTGTAATCAACACTTTTCTGCCATGCTTATTTACAAATGAAGAAGTATTCTCAAAGCTGTTTCAATTTTGAGCATGTCACTCTACTCAATAATGAAAACAAGGAGTTTTCAATTTCGACTGTGTTTATTTTGGTAATTCGATAATTTTTACCTAGTTTTGAGGAATCCTTTTTTTACAGCATAACTATAACTCTATTTATTCGAAATGTTTTTGCTGTCATACGCCATTAAGGCAAAGTGTGGGATTGTTCTTGTTTTCCAGTGGCGCCATCTATGGCCAAGAATTCGCGTTCTGCTACACCCATACGTCACACCTGTTTATAGAGCGGACCCATTCATAGATCCATTCATAGATCCATTCATTCATCCACAGTTCGTAATTTTGTCTTGAACCAGAGAACGATCAAACTCCAATTCAGTACCCCCAGAGGTATAATTGGTTATGGGAACATGGAACACTTTGTGATTCGATAGAGTTAACATGCAACACTCACGGGGGAGTCTTCGGCCACGTTGGATTCGAACTCCCGCTCTCACGAATTTTTTGAAATAATTGTATTTAATGCTTTTCATTTTGGTAAATTGTATAAATGCTTTAAAATTATTTTGATAAGATACATCTTTACATACAGGAATACAAACAATTCCATAGATTCAATAGATTGATTATAGCTTTTTTCAAAATTGTTTATTTTTGTACATGAAGTATACAACTATTATTTAAAATAAATTAAAAATTTACCAAAGTACAGTAAAAAAAATAGCAAATGTCGTATGAATTCTAGAATAAATATGTGTACTTTGCCACCGCAGAAGTTAAAGTTCGTAAAACCTGTATCAGCAGATAACGCATTTTCCCAGTGATCATCTCATTAAAAATATTTTGAAAGCAGATCTGTACTCATAAAAAACCCTACTTAGAATATCATACCACATTTTTAAAGAAGCTTATCCAAACTGTTTTTAATAGACGCACTTTTCTGATATAATTCATTGTAAATGTTGAAAGACTGCTTTGATAATACATCTTACGATAATATTTAGCTTAATTCCTTCATTTTTAACTTTGATGATTTACTATTTCTACATATGTTTATTTGAAAGACATCAGCACCATAATACCCCATATTTGATTACGTTGATTAATTAAGTGAATGATTTCATCGCATTTGATACAAAGGCAAAGCTCTTTCATAAAATCAACTCAACTCATCATGCATTTACATAATGTATCCATGCATATTTAAAACAATGTATTATATTCTGTTTGTCCTATGATTGTCATCAATAAGTATGTAGAATAAATTATAAGCAATTCAATCGGGTGAATACTGATGAATATGTGCATTGCGTAAGGATATTTTCAATCAAAGAGCAGGAAGAAACTAATTCATTTAAATATTTTACCAAAATTCTGTTGTTAAAAATAGCAACAATAGTTAAAAAAATATTTATTTCTGTAAAAATAGGAAAAAATTAAACTAAATATAGAATCTTTAAATAAAAAAATCTTTAGGTTTCTTAGTAAGTAAAAAAATAAATTCGGTAAAATCAATTAAAAAATAACAATGCAGCATCAAAAGTGGGAAATCAATAATTGTAAAAAATAAGTAATTCTGTGAAAAAAAGAAAACTTGTTTAGCACATTATTTATTTAAAAAAAGACATATTGAAGCAAGTATTTGCTAAAATATGCTTAGGAAAAAGAAACTCATCGAAGATTAGGCAAAGAATAATGCTCATTTAAAACGTAGGATGAGATTAAGAGGTTGCTCAAAGTGACACTCGCCTATCAAGATTATATTACTTAAACTACACTGTAAAAAATTACGGATCAAACTACGATGTAAAGCACTGAGAATTTGGGTGCATCATCCGCAAAATTCATTTTACAGTAAAATCCATTTTACCGTGAAATCCATTTATACCGTAAAATATGGTGCCCTAATTTTTATAATAATATTTATTTAATTAGAGTGATTCAGTGGTATTATGGTAATTATTGCTGTAAAAATTATGAAACACCAGATTTTTCGTCAACATCATGCTCCGGACTTTGATTCAGAAATTTTTACATTGCAATGGATTTTGAATTAGATACCAATTTCAAATGACAAAATACAAATAAATTTTGAATAAGATACAAATTTCAAATAGTCGAAAAAGTAAAAAGCACTACTGACTATCAGTCATGTTTTAATTTAAATTTTTCATTAAACTGGTTATGACAGTGAAAGTGCTTTAGTAGCAGTCAACAGTAAAACAACTAACAAAATATTGTAATAAGAGCAATTACTAAGCAATAAACAATTCACTAAGTAAAAAACAATATACTTCTGAAAAATCAAAATTATTCAGAATCTAACGATAAAAGAAATGATATTTCAGAAAGCAATCAGAATAAGTCTTATTTAGTCAATCGTTTAGTCGTCATTTCATAGTCAATCGCTTAGTCGTCATTTCGTAGTCAATCGTTTAGTCGTCATATTGTAGTCAATCTTTTAGTCGTCATTTCGTAGTCACTCGTTTAGTCGTCATTTCGTAGTCAATCGTTTAGTCGTCCTTTCGCAGTCAATCGTTTAGTCGTCATTTCGTAGTCAATCGTTTAGTCGTCATTTCGTAGTCAATCGTTTAGTAAATCATTTTAGTCGTTTAGTAATAAATACATTTAAATTAGTCAGTATTCAAAAGCAAGTTTTAATTATTCTTTTATGAAATTTTGAGTCTCAAATATTATTCAGTCTATTTCTTTGTAAACAAATTTTTATTTTAATTTACAAAAATCCAAGAACTAACCCTCACAAATAATATTACTTATGTATAGTTTTCGTCGGTTCTTCAATACCTCAAAAAAACTCTACAAAATTAATTTTTGCGTACCAGTTTCATTCTTTTCATATCTTTGCATTGATTTCCCAATGGGACTTCATACATAAAAATTTATTCACTTTTTGGGAGAAACCTGTCTTATTATATTTATAGCAATTAAAATAAAAATTTGCTTTAGAAGACATTATTTTGAACTATTATTTTTGATATAAAATATTCCATACAGAAATATTTTTTTCGTGTAAATCTAGTCTTGCTTTTTATTCGGAAACAATAAATAAAAGTATTGTTAGCTTGTTAAATTATTCATTTATGAACAAAACAATAATTAAAACAAATGCTTTTTTTGCACTAGAATCAATTATAGTCAAAACTATTAGAATATGGTAAACTTCATGGTGTTTCCTGGTTCCATGGAGACACAGAGCTCGAAAATGTTTCGGAAGCGCTTTGGTAATGGTTTTTGTAAAATTAACAAAAGTGATAAAGTTTGGTGAATGTAGTAAAATTTGGTAATTTTATCATGATGGCATAAGAACCATTTATTTAGTTAAATTTACTTTTCTGTTTTTTTTAATTAAATTAGTGGTAATAAGAACAATAATTCTGAAAACCGGACATTAGGGTAAACCTTTATCATTTAAATGGAACAATTACCAAATGAATGGTTAAATACCATACATTCTGGCATTATTAACGAGAATTATGTTGTTTTTTTAACAGAAATGCTTTATATAATGAAAATATACTTAAAAAATGACTTATATAAATAGTAAAT